ATTTTTTTTTAATTTAAAAAGGAAAAAGATTGTTGAGCTCAAACAAAACAGCTATAAGGTTGGACAGACAAGTGGCCAAATACACTTACAACAAAATGTATTTATATAGAGAGAGTGTACTCAGATGTATTTGGCCAAACTGAATTATAATAAATTTTATAACTTTTGGGTTTATAACTGTAAATAAGACTAGTCAAAACTTTTTGTAGGTCCATTAACAGAGATCTGTTGCAATTAGACTCATAAAGAATGAAAGCCCTTTATACCTGTAAGTGCAAAAACAATTTTAAAGGTGGGCCCTAGGATAATGGTCTTTTCTTTTGTCTCACTTATTATAAACCTTTTATAACAAACTTGGCTTCAGGTGTTTAAATTTTAAAGTATCATTTTTTATTAAACCTCATTTGGCCTGCTCAAACTCTCTCTGAAATGAAAAGACGACCCCTACTTCATCCCTCCTTAGGCAACCTGATAGTCCCTCACTCCCAGGAGGTTACCATATTGATGCCAAATTAGTGCAGACACTTGATCAGCATAGTGCACTGCAGCCCAAAACTCCTGGACTCAGGTGATCCTCTCTCCTCAGCCTCCTGAATAGCTGGGACTATCGGCACATGCCACCATGCCTGGCAGGCTTGAATTTTTTTTTTTGGTACCAGGTATCGAACTCGGGTCCTTGCACTTGCACAGCAGGCCATGAAACCACTGAGCTAAATCCCCGGCCCCAGGCTAGAATTTTAAAGTGTCTTTTTTTCTTCCCTTTTTTTTTCTGTTCTCAGATTGTTAGATTTTTTAATTTGACTGGCTGCCAATAGAACATTAACCTTGAGTTAGTGTTCTTAAATCAACAGTGTAGAGAGAAGAGCAAGTTAACCCTATAGTTGCGATTCAAGAATTTGCAATGGACAAGAAAGGTTTTAAGCACACCAATTAAACATCAACTCAAATTGGAACAAAAGTACATTTATCAATTAGCTAACTGTGTAATTTGATTCTCTTATAAAATCTCTTTATGTCTGGTAGAGCGCGATTGCAGTTTTTCAACTTTTGTTTTGGCTTCCAGACATTTGCAAGCAGCATTGTTTTGCTCCGTGCTCTCTGGAGCTTTCCCAACTGTTTTCATTCCATTTACTTATTTTCACATTTCAGTTCTTTCCAACCTGGGTGTGGCTTCTGACTTTTCCTGACTCTGACAGTGGTGCCTCGCCTGCACATCATGGTACACTAAAGCCAAGCAGCTCTCCTCATGCCTGTGCCTCAACCTCCTCCTCCACACCTGTGGTCTTAGCAACTCAGGTGGAGGGGGAGGCAGCTCGACCTCCTCCGAAGGGGAGCACTGGGATTTGCCTGTAATGATGTCAAATTTTCTGAGAGAACCAAGCCTGCTGTGTGAGAGACAGCGGATTTGGCAAACAGTTGTTCTAATACTGAAACCAAGCAGTTCTCGATAGTGGCTGATTGCCACAGAATGGAAGCATGAGAGCCTCCCAGGCTCTGTTGTACAGGCTGAAAAACAGAGTGCACAGGCTCCAGGTTGTCAAGGTCTCAGGGGAGATAACTTCTTAGCTGAGCTGTCCAGAGGTTATTTCTGACATGCGCCCAAAGTTCCATAGCTAAGGTTCTTGTTTGTGAGAACCAAGGATTATATTTAACTATTTGCTACAACATTTTTTCAAAGCTGCTGGTCAGCACCGTGCATGCTTATTTAAGAAGGGTACAGAGCAACTAGGTGTACTGTTGCTCTTTGGCTGAAAGTGATTGCCCTGTGTTTTAATGCCAGCTGATTTCCTACTCCCTTTGAAAGCACTTACTTTTGCTTCCAGACTTTTGCTCCGGGCTTTTGCTTCCTCTTTGGACATCCCTAGTTCATTTGTCATTCAAGAGCCATGTGTTGTCAATACACTCTGTCCACTCTGAGTAGCCCTCAACGAGGGAGACCCCTGCAGTGGATCCCAATCTCCTGCTCAGTGCTATGATGCATGGTGAGAAGAAAGACTTAAAGACAGAATGAAAGAAACAGATACAGGGAACCAGGATGACCAGTGCTTGAGCAGTCAGAGGCTTGAGCAACCAAAGGCTTGAGCAACCAAAAGCCCTGGCCAGCCAAAGTCATTGATATTTATTGTGACATCACAGTTAGGTCACAGTAAAGGGGCTATGTGTAGTTACTAGGGATACATTGTTGATTCAGGTAAGACTTGTAAAGAAAGAGATAATGCTTTTTTTTTTTTTGATACCATGGATCGAACTCAGGACCTTGTGCTTGCTAGGCAGGAGGTGGAACCACTGAGCTAAATCCCCGGCCTTGATAATGCATTTTTGAATTAGCAATAGAACAGACAAAATACAGGTTGTGATTAGCATATGACCTTGTCTTTTTAGTAAAGAAGGTTTTAATTCTGGGAATGGAATTTGGGTAAGAGTCACTGGGACTTTGGCAGGTAGGCTTTGGCCAGACTCACTTCTATAAACAAGCCAGTGGTGGGGTTAATTCTGTAAGCCTGTACTGCTTACAGCCTGCTTTGGGTATAATCAATGGGGCAGTCCCCCACAGGGATGGAATAGCTAGCCTCAATCTGCCTTGGAGAGAACAGGATTTAGGGTTATTTATGGGGTAAAGAAGTGGTGTGGAAACTGGATGTGGTGGTACAAACCTGTAATCTCAGCACTGAGGAGGTTGAGTGAGACAGGAGGATTGAGTTCAGGCCAGCTGAGCTACTTAGTAAGACCCTGTCTCAAAACAAGAAGTGGGGTGCCTGAGGCATGAGGAGAGGTGAACAGAAGTAAGGTACAGTGATGGAATTGGTGTCTGCACATGCATCGAACTTGGTGGCTCTTTACAGGATGCATCTCTGAAAATCAAGTGCGATCTGAGGGTGACATTTTGGCCCTCTGATGGCAAAAGATCACCCCCTGGACACTGGCACTCCTGCACAGGCCCAGGTGAAGGATTGGTGGTTTCAGCTTGCTTGAGACAAAGCAGCCTCCCAAGTCCTATGAACTTGGGTTTCCTATGAAAACAACTGGGGTACTGGTGATCCTTGAGCCCCAGCGTCCCTGACTCCTGGGATTGTGCTGCTTAGCCAGGGCCTCTGGAGCTGGTGACAAAAGGAACGAGGAGCAGGAGAAGCCAGAGGTTTACTCAGGGTCTTCCTGAGTTTTACTTCCCAGCATGGGGCCCAAGAAAGTCACTCGGTCCATTCCATGCCTTAGATTCCCCATTTGTGAAGCAAGGTGATAATGTGAGGAAAGTCCATAGCCCAGGGCCTCGCTAACAGTCAGCACTCAAGAATGATGTCTGGTATTCACTTCCGATGTTAAGTAGTTTTGAATTTATGAATTATCTTTTTTTTTCCTGAGACAAGGTCTCACTGTGTTCCAGACTGACCTCAAACTCACTATGTAGCCCAGACTAGCCTTGAACTCACAATCCTCCTGTCTCAGCCTCCAGAGTGCTGGGTCTGCAGGTGTGCAGCTTTGAAAACCAGCTTCAAAAATCCTTTTATCTGAAACATTTTACTCTGATTTGTCTGTGATATAACCAGTCTTCAAAATTCCTGCTTGCAGCCGGACCTGGTGGCGCACACCTGATATCCCAGCACTCAGGAGGCTAAGGCAGGAGGATCACCATGACTTTGAGGCCAGCCTGAATTACAAAGTGAGACCCTGTCTCAAAAAACAAACAAAACAAAGCAACTTTTCTTGCAAGAAATTTCCAGCCTCAGTGGTCTGTCTCTGTGATACTTAGAAGGATTCGAATTCAATTGTGTGGCCTGGTGTCAGGATCCTACCTGTATATCCCAGGCTGGCCTCCAATTTGAGGTCCTCCTGCCTCAGCCTCTCAAGTGCTGGGATTATAGTCATGTACCACCATGCCAAACTGATTGACCTTTTTTGGTGTGTGGTATTGGAGATTGAACCTAGGTCCTTCACACTGAGCTACACCCCTAGCCCTTTTTACAGTGGACGCTCCAGTTACAACGAGCCTGACATATGAAAAACTTGGGTTATGACAGGAATTTTACTTTTAACTTACAACCAAAATCTTGAGTTATGACCTGAATGCCAGGTGCTTGTGTTTCCATATAGTCTCAAATACAGATTTCACCCTTAAAGACTTCTGGAAGGAACATTACAACATCCTTTCCTGTGTGGGGTTGAGAAATCCTGGGCCAAAGTCTCTCTAAGGACACTGAGATATGCCTGTCTACAGGAGAGAGACTTTTAAGGCTGTATAGAAGAGCCTGAGCCTTCAATTGACCAACTTGAGTTACAACCAGACCTTGGGAATGAATTGAGTTCTTAAGTCAAGGGTCCACTGTATTTTTTATTTTGAGATATGATCTTATTGTCACTTAATTGCCCAAACTGGGATCAAACTTGCAATCCTCTTGACTCAGCTTCCCAAAGAATTACAAGTATGTTCCACCGTGGCCTTGCTATGATTGAACAAAATGGAATTTTGAAATTGCGTCTGTGTGTCTGCATGTGATGGTGGGGATCAAAACCAGGACCTCATGCTTCCCAGGCAAGCTCTCTACCACTGAGCTACATCCCCTGCCTGAAACTGAATTCTTGAATTGTCATTGAATTATTTTTATTGCTATTGATGTTCTTGATGAAATGGTAGCACCTGAAATAAGGATTGGATGTGAGGTTTTGAGTGATTCGAGCTTTGCCACACGAATTGCATGAATTCTTCACAAGTTTGTTAGCTGTGTGATTGACCAACCTCTCACTCTGCAAATATGTACGTTGGAATGTTGCTGCTACCTGGCTCTGATGCGGGGACATCTGACCCTCAGAAGCCATCTTGGTCTTCCCCCTTGGAGTTTGCATTCCTGATGGTAGAGGCAGACAGGAAACAAGATACTTTTAAAGATAAGAATGAGATGTGATGAGATGAAAACCCAGAAAGGAGGTGGGTGTGGTCAGGGTGGGCCTCTCTGAGGAAGCAACCTTGAAAAGGGGGTGAGCTGTGTGTCAGAGTGGACGAGTGGTCGGAGAAGGGAACACTCAGTGCAGACACACTGAGATGGGGGAGAGCCCAACCTGGTGAGCCCTCTCCAGGCCCATGTGGCCGAAGAGCCAGAGTTGAAACGAGGCTCACTCTCGAGGTGATGGAGGAGGACCGCAGCTTCAGCTGGTTCTCCTGGAACTCGGTAAGGAATTTGGGTTTCATCCTCATGTCATCGAGAGCCCCCAGAAGGCTATGGCTCCTCCCTGGATGCTGTATGGATGCCCTTCACTCCTGGGTCATGAATGTCCCTTTCACCCATGTCCTCCCTGCCCACCCTACCTGTGGTCAAGAGCCCCTATTTAAAGAACTGGGGTGAATTCACCCACCCACCCACTGCTTCACATCCTCCTTCCCTGAGCTATTTTTCCTCATAATCCTTATTGTCCTTTACCACACTCTCCATTTCACTCTGATTTTGTCCACCATCAGGGGACATAGGTCGTGCAAGTGCTGGGACAGCTCTGGCTGGAGTAGGAGAGCAAATTGAAGGACAGTAAAGAGAAACTGACCTGGTCTGAATTGTGCTTTCCAAGGCTCTCTAGCTGCCTGGGTAGAGGACATCAGGAAAGGGGCAGAGGGGCCCTGGGCCTAAGGGAGGCCTGATGTCTGCCTGTTCTGCGATGTCTGCCTTTCCTGGACTTGTAGGCAGAGGGCTTGAGGAATTTGCCAGAGGTGGTGTCTTTTATCCCCCCAGGTTCTGAGAACAGAATTTATGGTGACTGGGAAGACTGAGAGGAGTAAACAGAGCCAGGAAGTCACTACCCAATCCTATTAGACCCCAGCTGTCAATGGAGAAAAGTGGTGATAAAAAGTGCTTAAATTATTGGAGAAACTGTCAAGCTGAAAAATACAAGTTGTTCAAGTATGATGAAATTTTAAATCTAGAAAAAAAAATCTAAAACCTAGATCTGAGCAAGTCTGGGTAAATAAACCTGACACTTATTGCATTCAAGAATATTGCATTGAAGAATAATGTTACTCAAAGGTCTATGATCTCAAGTCACAGGAAGTACTGTAAGATAAATTTCAGTTAAGTTTAAAACAAAATGAAGGGGATGGTAATGGGAAAGGACCACACATTTATAGGTTTGGGGGGGCTGGGAGAGAACATTTCAGTTTCTGAGACATTTACAATAATTTTTAAGTTTTAGTTTTTTTAATTAAATATTTTTGGTGCTGGGGACTAAACCCAGGGTCTCACACATGCTAAGCATATGCTCTATCATAATCTTTAGTCTTTTGGGGGGAGAGGATACCAAATGGGAGGATACCCAAAGTGAGGGTTACCTCCCACAGTGCTATTCTGCAGTTTTAGGAAGAGGCCCTGTGTCCCCACCCCTCTGTGCCCCATATTTCCCAGACGCTATTTCTTCCAAGTCATCCTACCACCCAGAGCCTAATGCAGCTGCTCCAGGCGATGCCTTTTGTTGTTTGGTTTTCACACTCACAGCAGACACCACAGTTTTTATAAGATGAGGAGTTTTTATAAGAAGCAGGAGTGGCTTGAACAGTAAAGACAACAGGGCAAAACCTGTGAAGAACTGGATTAAGCAAAGCTATTTAGCCTTTAGCCTTTGGGGAAATGCAGGCTGCTACTGGAGTTCATTCTTTCCTCCTGGAGAAGTCACAAAAAGCAATATTTTCTACCTAAAAGATTTTTTTTCTATCCCTGTAAAAAATGATGTTTTTCCCCCCACGGAGCTAGGCCTTCTGAACACCATCTTGTCTACATCCACTGGGTCGCAGACCTCTGGGTCTGCAGAGAAACTGCTGCAGACAAGCGCAGGCAGGGTGGAAGCCAGGTGGCTGTGTTGGGAGCTCCCGAGTTGTGTTTAGTATTCCATGTGCATCTTCCTCCAAAACCGAGTGGCTGCAAGGACTGAGCCAGGGCTGCATCTCACACTGCAGTGTAGCTCGCAGGCCCAGAGTTCTGCATGCCTGAGGCCACCTGGAGGTTTGCAGCTGGGATGGCAGCTGCCCTTGCAGGTAAATCCAGGCTCACTTCTGTCCATGACTGAGCTTGCAGAGGCTGCTTCTTCCCCAGTTTTTCTGTTTCTTGCCTTTTGGCAGCAGATTTGGTGGCACTATGTGGTTTGGTGCAGATAATGATCAAAGGGGTTCCTGTGTTCTTGACGGATTTGATCTGTGCTGCCACCTTGCCCCATCTCGCCCATCCCCTATGTACCATGGCTGAGGAAGCCAGTGTGGAACAGCCCCCCCCCCGCCATGTCACTGGGCTGGGCTCTGTACCGCCCTCCACCAGAGCCTCAGCCTCTGGCCCGTGCAGCCACCCAGTGCAGGAAGATCCGATGTTCCTCGCCGTCCTGTGCACCGTGGTGTTGGCCCTGCAGGTAGGGGCCACTCTGCCGTGACTGTCAAACACCCCGGTTTCCCAGCCTTGTCTGGGAGCTGTAGCGATCATTCCCTCAGGGATGAGCACCCACAAGGGGAAACGGGGACACCCTTATCCTCACCCCTCCCTGAGGACAGGAATCCGCCCCCACCTGCCCAGAACAAATGCTGGGGAAATGAAAATATCAATTAAGCGGTTGCTGTGGCAACCCAATCATGTGTTTGCTGCTCCGTTTTCAGCGTGGTGCTGGTCTTTTCTATTGAGTCTATGAATTCCTCAGTTGTTCTCCTCCCCTGCTCTGTCACCCATTCACAATACACACACACTGTATGTTCTGGATTGTGAAGACTGACAGAGTGATGATGTTTCCTTAAAGGGCTGGGGCGAGAGCCAGGAGAAGGCTTTTGGATTGAGAATATACATTTTTGTTCTCATTATGTGCCTTTTTGGGGTAGTAAGAAAAAGTCTTCCATTACTTTCCTTTTTGACCTTGGATGAGCTCTACATTGTGCGTGTGTGTGTGTGTGTGTGTGTGTGTGTGTGTGTAGTACTGGGAATTGAATCCAGGATTTTCTCTGTAGTATATCCCTAGTCCTTTTATTTTTTATTTTGAGACAGGGTCTCACTAAGTAGCTCAATTGCCTAGTCAGGCCTCAAACTTGCAATCTTCCTGCCTCAGCCTCCCAGAGTGCTAGAATTACAAGCCTGTGCCACCACACCCGGTGAGCTCTGCATCTTCCTGAACCAGAGGTTTAGCCCTTTATCAAGGAAAAATCTTGCTGTCAGCCCTGAGCCAGCTCTGATAATGATTGAGGAGAAAATGCCCATACCAACCTTCAAGGGGCCTCACAGGGGTAACATGAGCTCAGGTTCTGGCTGGAGGTGGACTTTCGCTTTACAGTCTCCCATGTCCAGGGTTAGGAGCAAGGGCCTGGGACTTCTTTTTTTTCTTTTGTGATGTTGGGGATTGAACTCAGGGCTGTCAGGCTGTCACAATTTGTTAGGCACAAAATTTTGCATAAATCACTTGACTCTTCTGGATCTAGTCTTTGAAGTAGGACTGTCAATCAAGAGTCATGCTTCCTGGGTCTGGGGAGAGCTCGCTCAGTGGTAGTGCATCTGCCTAGCAAGCCCAAGGCCCTTCTATCTTCAGCACTACAGAAAAGAAAAAAAATAGTGCTTCCCCCATGGAGTTATTCTGAGAATGAAATGAAATACCATAGGCAGTGCTGGTTCAGAGTAAGTAGGCAGTAGATATTTGCTCTGGTTATATTAACATCGGTCATCACAGAAATCCAAAAAGGAAAAGGACTTCAGAAGATACACGCCTTAACATTCCAAAGTCAGGTCTTCAGTGCTTTTTTTTTTTTTTTTCCTCCTGAAGGCAGTGCTTTATTTTTTTAATTTTTTAATTTTTATTTTTTGGACAGGGTCTCACTAAGTAGTTCAAGCTGGCCTTGAACTCACTATGTAGCCCAGGCTGGCCTTGAAGAACTTATGGTGATCCTCTTGCCCAGTGCTGGGATTATAGGTGTATACCACCATGCCCTGCTAATTTATTTGTTTGTTTGTTTGTTTGTTTTTAAGAGAAGGCTTAGGGCTGGGGATGTAGCTCAGTGATAGAGGGCGTTGTATGCACAAGGCCCTGGGTTTGATCACCAGCAGCAACATACACAAAAAAGATATTTTTATTTTTTGTTTTCCTGTGTTTTTTATCATGAAATTGCCTATGATGACTCCTAAAATAGGGGAGCTGAAACCCCTTGAGGGAAGAGGCAGCATCTCTCCCATGACTGTCCCTAGAACAAAAGAAAGAATCCTTCCCCTCTTACTCACAGGGTGGAGGGACCTGCATGGAATCACCCAGCTTTGACAAACAGCAAAGCCATGCAAGAACCTTTCTATTGCCTTCACCTCCCTTCCTGAATTTTATAGGCACATCGGTATCACCAGGTACCACCCCAGGTTTCCCAGATCCACCCCCTGGGGTAAGGACATTGGGCAGCAGTGACAGCAAAGGCCAGAGCTGTGGTAATTAATCACTGGGTCTGCAGAGTTGAGTTCACCCGCATTCCTCCCATTCTGGGTGGTGTCCAAAGGTATTCTTGTTTCACAAAAGCTTCAGAATCTTAACACTTGAAAAAGAACCAAGGTGCCTCTTCTACTGAATAATGAATGAACCCTATAACGTGTATAACCTTTGCAATAATTTTTTTTAATGTTTAAAAAAATGTCAGGGAGTGCAGTTTGCTCAGAGGTGAACTCTTGTTCCCTAGACCTAGAGTAGCTGAAAACGAGGAGAGCTCTGCTAAGAAACAGCACAGAGATTATCCCACAGATGGTTACCTTTACTGATGTGTTTTGTCAATTTATTTGACGATGTCTTCCTAAACTATATACGTGTACTGCTCTAAAAGAAGAATGGTGCCTTCCGAAATATGGAATATCATTTACTAAATATATGTAGGGGATATGATACTCCTTTATTTTATTTTTCGAAGTACTGGTTGAACCCAGGGCCTTCACACCAATCCCACCCCTTTTTATTTATTTATTTCTATTTTGAGACAGGTTCTTGCTAAGGTGCCCAGGCTAGGTTTGAACTTGTGACCTTCCTGCCTCAGCCTCCCAGAGTGCTGGGATTACAGGCATGCTCTACCATGTCCCTGTTAATTGACCTTTTGATAAATTATCCTGTCACAAATGTTTGTGTTTAATTCAGTTTTTACCCCACCATCCTCCAAAGGAAATCTGGGGGTGGGGGGCGCCTAGTTCACAGCAGGGCCGTG